TGTAGTCTTTAGGCTGTTCTATATATAGGATCATGTCATCTGCAAAGAGGGACAGTTTGATTTCATCTTTTCCAATCTGGATGCCCTTTATTTCCTTCTCTTCGCTGATTGCTCTGGCTAGTACTTCCAACACTATGTTGAATAGGAGTAGCGAAAGTGGGTATCCTTGTCTTGTTCCTATTCTTAAGGGAAAAGTTTTCAACTTTCCCCCATTCAGGATTATATTGACAGTGGATTTGTCATATATGGCTTTAATTGTGTTGAGATACTTTCCTTCTATACCCAATTTATAGAGAGTCCTCATCACAAACAAATGTTGAATTTTGCAAATGCTTTCTCAGCATCAATAGAGATGATCATATGGGTTTTGTCTTTGATTTTATTAATGTGGTGTATTACATTTATTGATTTACATTTGTTGAACCAACCTTGCATCCCTGGGATGAATCCCACTTGATCACGGTGTATAATTTTATGTACATGTTGCTGTATTCTATTAGCCAGTATTTTATTGAGGATTTTTGCATCTATATTCATCAAGGATGTTGGCCTGTACTTTTCTATTTTTGTGGTATCTTTCTCTGGCCTTAGTAGCAGGGTGATGTTTGCCTCATAGAATGAGTTTGGGAGAATGGCCTCTGTTTCAAGTTTTTGGAATAGTTTGAAGAGAATTGGTGTTAATTCACAAGTTTGGTAGAATTCCGCAGTGAAGCCAACCAGTCCTGGGCTTTTCTTTGATGGGAGACTGCTGATAACAGCTTCAATCTCTTTGATTGTTATTGGTCTGTTAAGATTTTCTGTCTTCTTGGCTCAGTCTTGGTAATTCGTATGTATCTAGAAATTTATCTGTTTCTTCCACATTTCCAAATTTTTGGCATATAGTTTGTAGTAGTCTCAATGATTTCTTGTATTTCTGAGATATCAGTTGTAATATCACCTTTTTCATTTCTAATTTTTATTTGTGTCTTCTCTCTTCTTTATTTAGCCTTGCTAATGGTTTGTTAATTTTATTTATCTTTTCAAAAAATCAACTTTTTGTTTCATTGATCTTTTGTATCATTTTTTGGTTTTCTGTTTCATTTAGTTCTGCTCTGAACTTAATTATTTCTTTCCACCTACAAACTTTGGGTTTGGATTGTTTTGTTTTTCTAGTTCTTTAAGGTGAAGAGTTTGGTTCTTTACTTGTCATCTTTCCATCCTTCTGAAGTAAGCATTTAATGCAATAAATTTCCCCCTTAGTACACTTTTGCAGTATCCCACAGGTTTTGGTATGATGTGTAATTATTTTCATTAGTTTCAAGGAATTTTTTGATTTCCTGTTTAATTTCTTCTTGGACCCATA